AAGGACAAATATGAAGGTAAATCACATCAAGGAATATACTTACTGTTCCCCAGGGTCCACGTCCCTCAAGCCAATATACACAATATCCTTGGCAGATATGCAGGGAGTCACCCAGGAGAATCCTGGCACATCAGGGACCTGAAATCACAATTTTGATTTAGTTACACGTGCTTCTCTTGTGCAAATCCTACATTTAGTTAAGGACACTTGTTGGATGGCTTATATCTTATATTTAGAATATACAGTTAGAGGAAATCACTTAAGGTAATACCAAATGAAGAAGGGGGTGCTTGCCTCCTCTTTAGTGCTTTGGCCTTATCAGCCTCCTCTGTAGCCCAGACCTACCCCGAACCACTGGCATTTTCCTGCTCTGTGCCCTATTTCTGCTGGGCTCTTCTTTCCCAGGGCTCTTCTTTCCCAGGACTCTTCTATAAAGAAATGTGTGTGCTTCCATTGCTTTGGCAGATTCCTGCTTTACCTCCCTTTCCCAGGAAGGCCTTAGTGCAGAGGATGGCCCAGAGTAGCCGAGGGAAACTTCTGACCAGACCATTGGTTGCTCCTCAAACCATAATATAGTGATATCTACTTTGTCCTGGAGCCAGGCTTAGCTGTTCTCATGTGCTAGCTAGATATTTTGAAAGTTTATAAACCCATTTCTTGGTTATTAGTTTAAAAAATGTTATATATGAGCATTTAACATGAGGGGGTTCAAACTCTTTGTATCATCATAAGGACCAACATACTACAACTGTATCAATGAAAATTGTTTTTATCGCTATAGTATTGCATGTCAATAAAAAGTATGAACCACAATGTTAAATCTTAATCTGAAATTTTATATCTTTTAGTAAAGAAATTTTTATGGAGCAAGGAAATAGTTCTTTCTTTTATGGTTTGTGTAGGTGCTTTTCCCAGTAAAGATGTTAAATAACAAATCATTGTAACCTACATTTTAAAACTCCATTTTTGAAAAGGCTCTATGATATAAAGGAACATTTTGTAAGCATGTAGTGGAAAGAGGTAAGGGTTAGGAGACCTGGTACTGGCCTTTGCCTTACTAGAGGCTTGGCATATGATCTTGGGCAAGTCCGTTAACCTCTAAACCTCTGCTAACTTGTTTATAAAGGCTTACTCTCTGCCCCACCTACTAAAAATGGTAGTTTAAGAATCAAAAGGAAAGATATACATGAAGTCAGTTTGCGATCTTTCAAGAGAGGTAAACAGAGAGAGCCTTACTGCCTTTATCAACCAACCCTTTGATTACTAGCAACAGAGAAAATGGTTTGCAATTACATCAAGGATACGATGGCATACAGGTTCTTACTTCCCTTCCACCTCCTGCTTCTACTAAAGAGTATTGTTTTGTGATAGAATCCCAACCAGCCTTTTACCTTTCCTTTTAATTCCTTCAGGAGGAAAGACACAGGCTGTCCATGCAAGTTTCCAGTTGTGGTTGTCAGTGGAGTGTTGATGTCAGTGTGAGCATCCACCCAAATGACCCCTAGATCAGGGTGGACACTGGCATGGCCACAGATGCTTCCGATTGCCAAACTTTGGAGGAAAAAATTTCGTGTGAACTTCAGGTTTGCAATGTCATTACGTACATCTTATTATTAACTCAATGCTGCCACTTGGTTTTCCTTTATGTTAAAGTATTGATATTTCTAGTAAGTTCTAAATTAGAGATGACAGTTAAACAATTGTAACAGTAGAGAAAGTATAGCTTACACTTAATATTTACTAACTAGTTATCTTCACATCGATAGCATTACTAAAAAATGGTGATTATTTCTTCAAAATCCACCTTGTAATAAAATTACAAATTATAGCTTATCCAAAAAATAAAGGCGTGTAAAAACCCTAGTTGCACAAGAAATCCCTTAACAGGAGACACTGTTGAATTCTCAAAGTTAAATCTGGATCATTTTCTGCACACTCATCTCTCTCAGTAAATACTTGATTCTCCCAAAGTGAATTATGACAAAGTCTTTCCATTTTTCTAGAAATCCAACGCTTTTGTAATTGAGGAGCATCACTCAGAAGTTCTACGTCCCCTTCGTCAGCATGTCGAGTGTGCTTGCTCACTCTATTCCATGCTCAGATCCTCTACTCTAACTTTCTACTCTCCTCCAGGCATTTAATGAGCCCAGGAACCCTCAAGGTCCATCCCAACTACTCTAGCTCCAGCCATTTTGTCCGATGGAAAATCTAAGTAATATCTTGCTCAAAAGTTAAAAGAGTAGGATTTACTATATAAAGCCTGTATGTCTCACTTGGGAATGTTCAAGTATCATTCAGAGAATGATGAACTTGCAGATTCTCAAAGCGGAAGCAATTTGCCTGATGTGCGGGTATTGACTATTCAGCTTGCTCTTTGTTTCCCCTTCAGGTTTCTTTTCTTTCGCCATTTGCCACTTTTCAAATTTCCACTTACAAATTTTTCCACATTAAAAAGAAAGTGAGCCCTGCTTTCTCAATGGCAGTTTTGTTACAGAAGCTCTGGTAACACTTGGCTTTGGAAGAGGGAACCGAGAGGGCTTGAAGTGATGGACTCTCACACCAGAGCCACAGGAGTGTTTCTCCATTTTGATCTCATCAGGCCTCTCCTGGCACCATTATCCTGAGACTGGAGAATAGATGGTCTTTCCCACATTGTTGGTAATGATGAAAATTTCAATATAACCCGAATGTCTGACAATACGGACATGTAGAATGATGTCATCCCTTGATGAAAAATCATTCAGCAGTAAAAAAAAAAAAACAAAATGGTGCTTACAATGCTCATGTGCACACCAGGAAGTAATATAAGGAAACTCATACTGTAGATTAAGAATAAAACATAGGATATCACATACACACAATTGTTAAACAAAGTCATCAGGTACAAGGAAAAGATGCCATGAAAGAAAGGTACCAGATTGTGAATTCTGACCAAAATAGTTGCTAGGAAAGGAATATTACCACAGATTTTTTTTTCCCTTGTGTGTGTGTGTGCACTATCCAAAACATAATAATCTAATTATTACTATTAGAATGGAAAACACATACTTGCTAATTGATGACCTGAGTCATATGTATTATCAGTAATTAAGCACAATAAGCTATGAATTTCCTCAGTGCTTATTTATGTAGAAATGTAAGCCTATGCTCAATATTTTGATGAAATCCATTTATACTTTATGTATTTTCTGGTGCACTGAATAAAAATAAAGATATTGTAAGATTTCAAATAGAGCTAAGTCTATGTTTCCATAATAAAGTGGTGACCTATAACATCTTTTATAAAAGGCAGAAAATCTGGAATAAAATGTTGATCAGTGCTTTCCCATCTATATTTTCTCTCTTGTTATGATCCTGGTTCTATTTCTTTGCCGTTAGTGCTTGACCCCCAGAGACAGCGATTCGACAGGACCTGTGGTCTCCGCCCAGCACCAGGCTGACTCTTCCGTTCCTTTTGACTTCTGCCACCTTGCTGGCCAGCTGCTCGGTCGCTTTCCCTACAGTCCTTGGATTCTTCACAATTCCAAAGGGACTGTCATTAGGGACGTCATCAAAGGTCAGGTCCCCATAATCTTTCACATCACACTCTAAAATTAATATTAAATGTTTCACGTTACTAAGTGAAAAAGAAGATTGCAAATCAGTCTGTGTAGGATGATTCCAAATGAACAATATAAATATATTTTCCAAAAGACTGTAAACATTGTGGAGGTAGAATCCACATCTGCTTTTGCCTGCCATCCTCACCTCGCCAGTACCATGCACTGGCACCTGCTGTATACCAGCTGTTAGTGAATACTTCTTGAATCAGTAACGGTGATAATTTTCTGGTTTGGGCTTAATGGGGGACATCACTGTGTTTGTCTCTGTCTCTCTGCTTAGGTGCTTTCTACCTTTCTATAATAAGCATGTTTTGTTTGGTAATAAAGAAATAGTTAAAATATATATTAATGTACATATATATATAATGCAAATATAGAAAACACCTGTATATTTTCTTCTGGAGAATACACACACACGCACACACACACACACACGACTTTGTATTAACAGCGCTTGGATTTAATCCAACCTGTCACCTGCTGAAGCAACTCAGCTTCCTCCTCTGTCCATTGCACCTGCCTCATAGTGGTGTTGTCAGAATTAAATAAGAATATGTGTCAGCAATCTATTCCTTTATGTTGTTGAGTAGATCTCATTGCATGGATGTACCACTCCTTGTTTAACCATTCATCGTTTGATGGCCATTTTGTCGTTTCCATTTTTTGGTTATCATAAGCATTTCTGCCACAAACATACAAGTACACATCTTTGTGCACACAAATCTTTTCACTTCTCATAGGTAAATACCTAGGAATAGACCTGCTGGGTCAAAAGGTAAAGGTATGTTTACTTAGGAAACTGCTAACCTGTTTTCCAAACTGGCTGTATCATTTTGCATTCCCACCAGAAATACACGAGCGCTCCATTTGCTCCACATCCTTGCCAACACTTTACCAGGGTTTTACATGTAAAGATAGCATATGATTAAGCCTATACTTTTAAAATATATCTATGAGTTTGCATTTTCAGGTTTATATATATACACGTGTGTGTGTGTGCACATATGCACACTATGCAAACACAGGGGCTCTTATTATTACCGTTTCATTTTGTTTCCTTTCACAATTAGAGGTCCCCTTGCCTTCCATTTTCAGTTGCCCGACTCCCCCGGGGCATCGACCCCAACCCAGTTGTCACACACACATATTGTCTCACACCACAGTTGGGCTGGAAAGACAAACTATCTGAATGAGGATGTCCATCCAGTGTTCACTGGGCGTTCTCCTCGTGCCCTACTTCTTTCATAGGATGTGACTCTCAGGTCACAGCGATTCTGGAATAAATGTCATTCCACACACCCCACTTTCACAGGCGCCTGCTCCTTCCTCCAGAGTGGGGGGAAATCAGGCTGATGATCTTTCAACTTAAAGTTTACCTTGTTCATTAAGTTTCTCAAGCAGACCAGCCTTTCTCAATGCTCTAGGGCCTTCTTCCACCCCTCCTCGTGGCTGAACAATTGAAAAATAAATTACTTCAGACATTATCATGACAATCAGATGCTCAACATAGGAACCCTTTTTGTTATTTCATCAGTTGAATTGTAACTATCATTTTTGAGCTCCTACAGAGCCAGGAATTTACATTATCTCATTTTATCTTCACAGCAAAGTAGACTGAATTACTCCTGTGCCAAATTGCAGGAACTAGAATCACAAAGGTTATATGATATCCTATGCATACAGGTGGTAAGTGGCAGAGCCTACGTTCATGTTCAGGTCTTTGAATTCCAAAACCTGCATTCCCTCTTCCCACCCCCCCATGTTATCAACACAGCAAATACATATTTTGTGCAAAAGCACGCTGACAGATAGAGATACAATAATGAAAGAGAGAAGGCTTCTGATTTTCAATCACTTATAAGCTAATAGGAGATTTGGGCATTTAACCTCCAGTACAGTACACAGATGGTTGCTTCCATGCAGATATAAGATGTCATAGTAACAAACAGAGGATGTTCCCAACTCTGTTGGGCACAGGGCATGCCAGTGAAGGGTGCATGGAGCAGAGGACATTTCTGCTGAGTCTGGCAGCACAAGTAGGCTATCAGGAAAACAGGATGGAGGGAGGGAGAACCTCTGCAAACCAGGGAACAGCGTGGGAAAAGCGTCAGAGGAGAAAGAGCGGGGCATGAGACAGACCTAAGTGCAGGTGCCCACGGTGAGCGGGAGCTCCTGGGAGGAAGCAGGCCACAGAGAAAATCATCGCCTGAGAGCTGAAAACACAAAGACTAACCCAGTGCTTTCAAGTTTTCACCTGTTTAGACAGTTGAGGGGAAACTCTACCCTTGCTGTTTTGACATTAGTGACATCAGCACTCTTCCTCTTTGGGGCAAGTCTTCCTCAGCCCCCCGGCTGACAAGAGGACTAAAGACAGTTCCTTTCTGTATCTTTCTTGTTCTCATTTCCAACAGGGACCTTAGACACAATAAGCTACTTGTTGTTGTGGGATGAGATGTGCGCCAGAGGACGCCTGTGTCTATCCCTAGGACTGGGGCTGTGGCACCTGACTAAGCAGATATTTCCTCCCCACTCAAATGACCAGAAGACGTGCCCTGGTGCCACGTACGTCCTTGATTCCTGTCCCTGCAGCAAGGGACCCACGTGTTCTGCCTGACACATTCTGCTTTTTCACGCCACACTCTCTTCACTTGACACGCTTCCCTCTCCCCAGTCAAGTGGACGTAATTTCCCCTTCTTGAAACCCCAGTGGGGCGCTGCTTGGTCCCTGTTCTGCCTTTACTTCTGTGTGTGTTTTGTCTCTTCCCATCGTTAGGCTGCCGTCCAACTCTCTGCGCTGCGGCACTGTTGTGTAGTGTGGAGTTGAGCATCTAGCAGATGTTCAAAAATTCTCAGATAGATAAAACCCCCTGACCTTCTTCCTCCCTCCCTTTAGAAGATGAACCTTATAGACCTGTTAGTTCACACTGTATTTGCTGTAAAACACTCACTGAATTTCCCAGAGTGACATTTTCTACCGTTATTATTCTGTTTGATTCAAACTGCTTCTCGTAACTGGTCTCCGCCCATTGCTGGTTTTCCTGTCAGCTTTGGAAATTGCTCTGTCAGCCCCACTGACCGTCCAAGCTGGGCCCAATTCCTAACCGGCCACAGGCGTAATATCCGCTCTGGAGTGCAGCTCTCTGAAGAGGCGTCAGTGCAAGTCTGGGCACAGGCTTGAGATCAGTCTGTCCTGTCTGGAATCACGTAGGTAGGGCTGTTTGACCTCAAGCAAATTGCCAAACCTCTCTGAGCCTTAGTTACAGAGGTAAAAATAATACCTACCTCATTGTTTGCTCACTGCCTTGCAAGGGGGTGAGGCAGGAAATGGAGCCCTTACTCACACTCAAGCTTTTAGTCATCTGCCCCCTAATCCTGTCCTTTTGTCTGCTTGCCAACCTTTTACCTCCTTCAGGTGGGGACAAATGCTTATACGGTGGCCTTTTTATCCTGTCCATTCTATGGCTTAGTGTAGAAAAATCTCTCTCAGTCCTTGCAGTCATGAGACAGTAAGCTTTCTTCTCATGGCCACGTTTTAATGGGAGAAGGGCTGGGTGTGGTGATTACTTCATTTTTGTCAGTTTTTAAAATCTGCCTTTGTTATAACCTGTTCCAAGAAAAGGTGAGCATATTGTGGATTTTACAAGAAACATTTCTGTGTCACAACAATGTCCCTGTGTTCCAGGAGAGACCTTTGAAGGATTTCCAGGGGAAGAGAAGCAGTATTTACTGACAGTTCAAATGCAGTTTGGGTCTCTAACCTCTGGCCCCTCTCAATTTGTTTTGCAATAAAAAGCCAGAGTGCACAGCAAGAGTTCAAAATTAAGAGGGTTAAAATGCTGTCCAGATTTTGATAAACCTGGAGAAAGACTCCATTTTTTTGTTTTTAAATCAACCTTAAAATCAACTCGCACATTGCCTTGTTTGGTTTTGTTCTTTGTTTTTTTGTTCTTTGTTTTTTTCTCTTTAAGCACAGACCCATGTTGAAGTCTACTTAGTGTTCTGTCATCTCATTCTGTTTACCAGAATGAGTGTGCCCAGGCAGACAAAAAGACTGTATATTTCAATGTTGCTGGCATGTGTGGATTCACAGCTGGTGACTCTACAGCAATCTGAGAGTTTCATAAATCCATTAGTCTAGTCCTTTTAGAGTTGCCAACTTGCAGCAGGATTTTTCTTTCTTTCTGTTTTGTTTTTTTTTTTCTCCCTCAAGAAAAGATACATAAAGAATTCTACCTGGCCCACGACCTAACAATTTTATTAAACAGAATCATTAAACCCATAAAAAATATGAACTGTTCACAAAGTTGCATAAAATAATAATATTTAGGTTATCCAAATTATAAGAAGTCAGAAGGTTACCACTTATCTATTAAATTTTTCTAGACATTAATTACGTAACTAAACAAACATGTTTTCTTAAGATTGTCTCTCACTGTACCTATACACAGTAACATCAAAAGCAACAAGAGCAAAGAAACCTAAATGAGTAGCTACGATGCAGAAATAGTCCATTTCAATTCAAAGAAAAATATTTTCTCTTAAAAAACACAAGGTGACTTTCAGCAGGTTCAAATGAAATTAGCTTTGGCTGAGCTCAGGAGCCACAAGAGTAAGTAGGTTTTTGTTTATAATTATACGGTGTTGAAAAATGGTGAGAGAACTTTAAAATATGGATTTCCAGGCTGGATTGTATCAGGAAACTTAACTAACCAGACAATAACAATTTACAAATTTTAAAGTCCAAAATTTTCTAATGAATTCCAGGTATCCAAAGCCAGGCTTTTTACTCACCTGACCCTTTGAGAAGGGAGCTCCGATAACCCCTATGGTTCTGAACTTGGAGCTCATGCTCTGGCGCTTCTCTTTGCTGCACCTTGGCTCTCTAGACAGTCACCACCCTCTGCAACCATCAGTGACAGAGGGCACATCTTTCTTCTTCCATTTATAATTGGGTTGAATCTGTTTACCTTTATTCTAATGGGGTTGACTGGCTCCACCTACTAAACCAAAGAATGACAGAGTCAACAGAATGTCTTGCCAATTCTTCATACGTGGAATGACCATGATTCCTCTGAGTCTAGGTCTTTGATTAAGTGAGTATTATTCATGCTTATAGTTCACACCGTTTTAAAAAAGCCAGGCAGATACCATTAATCTTTCAACAACCAACAGTTACATGTGGTTTCACAACCTCATTCAAAAGTTCTAGCTGTGCAATCTCAGGGCAGGGCTCTTACCTCCTGTGGGGCTCGGAGACCTCCTTGTAGAATAAGGACTGAGACTGGCAAGCTGGTGTCTCATATCTCTTCCAGCACTAGCATCCTGAGTTAAGATTTCACACACAGGATAAATGATTAATCCATGAGATGCATTTCATACATCACTAAGGTACACTCTCAGGGAAAGCATATTACTTCCTTTTTTGATTATTACTTAAAGAGAACATTAGTTGATTGATAAACCAGAGGTATTACCATTTTTGAAATATGATGTGCAGGAAAATAATTGTTGAGTCATAACATCATAATCAAGGTGTAGAAATAAAAATAGTTCACACTGAGTTTTTGTCATGTTCCAGGTGTTCTGTTTTATATTACCTTATTTAATCTTTATACCAATTTTAAGTTAAGTCTCATCATCTGTGCCATTGTACTGATGAAGATACTGAAGTTCAGAGAGGTTGCCAAAGGTCACACACTGGTTGTAGAGAAAGAGCCAAGATTTAGTCCTAGGCATTCTGGATCCACCTAACCACTGGGCTTCCAGGCTAAGCACTGGGAAGGTGTCAGCTGTTAACTAATTTGGGCCCCAGGATGTTGTTTGTCATCGTGTAAAACTATGAATTTAGAAGAATGCACCTTAAGAATACTTCCAACTTTAAAATTGTATGATCATAATTTAAAAGGAAAATTCACTTAGTAGAAACTAATTTCTTTTTCCTATTGGAGAGAGAGAACATTGTGGAGTTTAAAGTCTATACGGGAAGAGAATTTGGTATGCTATATCCCCAGGCCCTAGAACAGTGCTAATATATTTGGTGAGTACTCAATAAATATTTATTGAGTAAATGAATGAGGAAAGTAAAGTCTCATGGGTCCATTTTGATAGAAACATTTCCCAGATAGGCTTTTTATCTTTTACTTGTGGATGTGCTTGTGTATCCTAAATATTTACTTGTGGTTTTCCTAATGTAGCCTAGATACTAATCTACTAGGGTATTGATATTGCAAGTAACTGTTCCCAACCCGTCAGAAATCTGATACCTTTATATATGTTATCACACAAAATCCTTAATTTATAAATAGTCACGCATAATTTTCTCCTAATGCTTCATGCTTTGCGAGTTTTATTTGTAAATCCTACCCACCCCCAAAATCACAAGTATGTACTTCCACGTTTTCTTCTATTTGTTTTCACATTTAGTTCTTTAATCCATCTACACCCACCTCTGTATGTTGTATAAATTTTCCAGCTGTATTTTTCCCTTCATCATGAGTCCATCAGTCTCCTCAACAACACCCTTTGAACAGTCCATCTGTTTTGCCATTGATTTGCGTGTTATCTATTGCTGAAGTCTTTCTTCTGTTCCATTGACTTATTTACCTATGGCTGCACCAGGTTCATAATATCCTATTATTATGGCTTTATAGCATAACTTATCATTGTTTGGACAAGAGTTACCTTTTTGCTCTTCTTTTTCAAAATCGATTTATCATGTATGGGTCTCTATTCTATATATTTAGAATAAGTTAATTCCTTTAAAAATCCTTTTAGAGTTTTTACTAAATTTATAGATTAATCCATAGAGATTTGCTAAGTTTCAATTTTCATTGCCAGAATTTTTTCTTTGAAGAATTCTAACATCCTGAAAGTTCTTCCTATGCTAAGCTGAGATTGCCTTCCTGCCATTTGACCCACTGGTCACAACCCTTTGATCCAAGTAAAACACACTATCTCTTGGCTTTCATGTTTTTCTTGGGTCTCTATACTTTGGACTGAATATCCCCAAATACCTCACTGGTTTCTCATATTACATGATTACTACTCTCCTTCAGATCACTCCCTCCCGAACGTCTTCTGCCTTGCCTATGCCCTCCTTAAGTGGGGCATCTAGAACAAATATCATACATCCAAGTGTAGATGGAGTCATCTGACCCATCAAACACAAATTTGGTAATGCTTGACTTTTCCAGGTCACTGATAAAAATGTTGGACAGGGCCTTAGTTTTGTAAATGCTCTGTGGCACTCCACTAGAAAGCTCGACTCAGATTGGCACAGCTCCAATAATTGGTCATCATACTACAGGTGTGGTTGTTCACTAATTTCCAACTCAACCACTCCATCTTGCCCATAAGGACATCATAAGCTAATTTATCAAGTGTCTCAATAAAGTCTCACTAAATTTTACTACCTATGTCATCCCCCAGTCTGTCTTCTCTATCAAAGGCGATAAGCCAACCCTGACAGGTCCTGTTCTTGGGGAACTCATCCTGACTTCTAGTGATCACCGCTTTCTTTTTGTTATAAACACAAACCTTCTTTTCAGTCTTCAAAGCTGTTATCTCAAGACATCCAGAGGAAGAAGATAGGGTGTATTTTACCTACATACCCTATTCAAAGAACTACTTTTTTCTGCTCAGTGCCTTCATTTATCTTAGAGTATATATCGGGGTTTTAAAAGCCCTTCTCCTAACAATACAGCCTCTTAACAACCCTATTTTAAAAAAATATTATCTGTCATTTTCCTGGGGATGAGACCACATCATATTTTATTCTTTTTTTTAATTTTCGTTTTTTTTTTTTTTTGAGACAGAGTCTCACTCTGTTGCCTGGGCTAGAGTGCCATGGTGTCAGCCTAGCTCACAGCAACCTATAACTCCTGGGCTCAAGTGATCTTCCCAAGTAGCTGGGACTACAAGCATGTGCCATCATGCCTGGCTAATTTTTTCTATTTTTAGTAGAGATGGGTTCTTGCTCTTCGTCAGGCTGGTCTACAACTCCTGACCTGAAGCGATCCTCCTGCCTGGGCCTCCCAGAGTGCTAGGATTACAGATGCGAGCCACCACACCTGGCCAATATGTGATGGATCCAAAGTCACTGGAATGAAATTTGGCACCTTAAAACCCTTGTTTTATTTTCCTATGGCTGCTGTGACAAAATACTTACACCACAAACTGGATGGCGTAAAACAACAGATAGTATCTCATAGTTTGGAGGCCAGCAGTCTGAAATCAAGATGTTGGCAGAGCCATATTTTCTTTGAAAACTGTAAGGGAATCCTCCCTTGCTGCTTTTCAGTCCTGGAAATTTTCTGGCAATCTGTGGAGTTTCTTGGCTTGTAGATTGATTGCTCTAATCCTCCATCTTCACACGGTGTTCTCCCTGTGTCTCTCTCTGTATTTTCACCTGGCTGTCTTTGTATAAGGACATCAATCATACGGATTAAGGGCCCACCCTACTCTAGTATGACATCATTTTAACTAATTATATTTGCAATTGACCCTATTTCCAAATAGAACTACATTCTGAGGTGCTGAAGGTTAGGACTTCAATGTATCTGTTTAGGGGGGATGTAATTTAACCCCTAAAAGCCCCCAATTAATATTTTTGAAAACATAAAGAGATGATTAATTAAAAAGTTGCATAATGAGAAGGACTAAAAAAATGACAAACCTCTTGCCCTCTTGTTTCTCTTTCTGAGGCTCCAAACTGTGACCCATTTCTTTATTGTCTTTCTATCAGCCAGCTGATAATAAGAAGTCTTTTCAGATGAAGCCCAGGATTCTTAGCAGTTTGAAAGACTGGATTGTACACAAAATCTGAGGGACTAAATCTTGAATGGGGTGATTTCAGGGAACAATTTTGTTTGCTGCATCGCCTAGACTCCTTAAACCCAACAGAGCAAGGATGCACCTGCTCCTGGAATACTAACGATTTTATGGAAATGTTCACACTGGATGATCTCTGGGTAAGTTACCTAGTCATGTCTCTGAGTAGGAGCTCTCTTAACATTTTGAGGCATACCAGTAGCCTAAGCAGAGTGGGCAGCCATGAAAAGAAGGTTCACCCTTACTGTCTGGCTTATGTCACCTCAAATTATATTTTTATAGACTCCTTCTCTTTCTTTCCCGTCTTTTTTCTTTAACCACTCAGACTTGAAGCAGTACTCTTGGGAGTGTGGAGGCTATAGGAAACAAAATGTTGAACAGCAATGTTGCTGAACTCTCTGTGAGCATAGGGAACTCAAGGCAGCACTGCTCTGGAACCAGGTGGCAGAGGATTCCCCAAAGAGGGAGCTCCATCCACTTTGGTGCCCTGAGGTCTCCAGAGAAATCACCCAATGTCCAACAGGACCCTGAACTTCAGCACTGGTTTCAGGGGAAGATATTTAAGTTTTATTTGGGAGGCTTCAGGTATAGACCCCCACAAAGAGAGTCTAAAATACAGAAGAGAGAAGGTATACATCACAGGGAATTAAAATCACTAGGTTCAAATGTATATTAATTTAAGAGATGGTGGCATTTTTGTAAAATAAAATATCTTGGCTCATGCTCTGGGAGCTAACTTATCTAAGCTTCCGTTGATGCAATTCTGGAGGAAAATGGATTTTTCTAGTATTTTAAAATATTTTTCTCTTTGACTTTGACATTCTATACCCTTGGTGGGATATAGATTGGTGTGGGAGTCTACATATCTTTCTTGGATTTGCTAGGTTTCTTGAATCTGTAGATTAGTATTATGTATCAATTTCTTAAAAATTCCTGGTCCTTTTTATTTTTTTATGTGTTCAAGTGTTTTCTATTCTGTGCCTCACATTCTCTCTTCTCTTTTTCTGAGATTAAGTTCAAAGTATGTTAGACATTCTGACTCTGTTCTCTTATCTCTTATTTTTTACATTTTTGTCCTTCCACGTTGCATTCCGATTAACAGCTTCTGACCTGTTTACTGGTTTGCTAATTCTTTCCTCAGCTAAATCTGTTTGATGAGTTCCCAATTTCA